GAAAATTATGTGGAGAAAAAGGCATGAGGCAGTGTGATGGATCAGATAAAGAAAAATGTTACGTCACAGCATGACTTTGTCTCCCCTCCATCTTTTGCTATATAGTTCCCCATATAGAGTGTTTAGTTACCCTCTAAACCAGGACTTTAGGCACCATATGGGTGACTACAAAATCACAATGCCAAAAAAAGAATAGGGTAATGTGTCTGTAAATCGTGATGATTCATGGTTTCAGCATAATCAAAAACACATAGAAATTAATCAAATATCAAGAAAACTGCAGTGCATTTTCCCCTTAACTAAACAAGTAAGAGAATAGAGAGTTTAGTAAAGAGTTTAGTGCTAACAAAACATCCACTAAACCCCATTCATTGTTTTAATGGCTAACTGCCACAGACAGATGAAACACAGAAAATAAAGCCCCTCCAAACACAGCACCATCAAAGCTCATTTCTCTCCAGGGCTATTTCCAGTTCACACAGCTATTAAGCTGAAGGAGCATATTCCTGTGCTGGATTGTATGTCGTACATTCACCTTAACCTTTCTTTGCTCCTTGTGTCTCTGTAACACACACTCACGTTCACCCCGCATTTGACAGACTGCCTCACAAACAGACACACACACAAATGCTCATAAAGGCTCAGGTTTCTTGAAATGCAAGTATATTCCTCCCTAAGCCTGTTATGCCTTCAGTCTGGTCTATATAAATACTATTACATGCACTTATTGTGCAGCTGTTACAGTGGCCCGCGAAGCTGGCAGCTGTGCAGAGTGGTTTGGTTTCCCACACCTTACCCAAGCACCAGGCTCATGGAACTGCCAGTGAAAGAAACATCAGGACTCTGTTTTTTTTTTTTTTTGTATCCCACTTCAAAGGACTCGGGGGTTCGGCTCATATGCTATAGGGTATCTGAGTGAGATTAGATTTAAATGCTCCGAAGAAAATATCTATGTTCAAATTTAAGAGAAATAAGTCTGGATCTTTAGTACCCGATCACATCATATTCTGTGTGTGTGTGTGTGTTGTGTGTGTGTGTTTGGTCCCTTTATCTAACCCTAAACCTAACCGTAATCCCTAAACAAATCACGTCTGTTTAGCAAACTGTTTCTCAATTTTCTGAACTGTCAGTGATTTTTTAAATAATTACAAGTTCATCCCAAATAGAAGCCATTGTTTAATGTAACACCATATTAAAATGCTAATCAGTTCTGGTTTTTATGCATGGACATGGTTGCTTTCACTTGTCAAAAGTGTGTGTGCAGTGCGTTCCAATTCCATTGTCATGCTGCAGTATCTTGCCTCAGGTTGAAAATGCTGATTCCTTGGAAGATAAACAGGAAATGGATGCTACACCTCAGGGATGAGCTTTGAAGATCAGGATTACACGTCAACATCAGATGTAGCAAAGATAAAGGTTAGATTTTTAAAAACGCATAGTAGTGGCTCTGCAGACTGCAAGGTAACTGGAGCTGCTTGAGTCTGTTGGATGTTTCAAGAATCAGAAAAAATCCATTGAAAATGTTTGCTTGGCACAAGAATAAAAAGTAAAACTTGTGATTACCTAAATTAGGTAATCACAAATTAAGTGAAAAAAACAAACAGGAGAGAAGCCTTCAAAATAAACCAGGAAGTAAAAAGCAGATGGGTTTCCAAAGGGTTCCATCACAGATGTGACAGTGTGATGAAAAAACTATAAATTGTCCATATGTATGTGTCTCCATATGTATTCTACTTTACTAATCCAATCCTCTTTGTCATTTTAAACACGAGGAGGTCCCTCAGTTTTGGAAACTGTCGAAGTGAGATCCACACAGATATGGAGAGTTGGGCCCTTTTGTCACACTGATCAGCACATTAAAATAATCCTTGGTGCACTGTAGTTATTCCACTCATTAAGACAGTTAATTGCATCAGGCGCCAAAAAGAGATGGATGAAAATGACTCAGTATTCAAAGGGATCACAGATCTTTGCCAAGGACAGAAGAACATTGTAGATCCAGGCCAGTAAAAGAGCAAAGGAAGTTTTATCAAGTCCTAGAGGCATTCAGGTCTCTGCAACGCCCACTGCACATCTCCAAATGCCAAACTCTGATTTCATATCAACCGATTCCTTCTTTTTCAGTTTACAGAGTACATTTTGACCTGGTCAGATGTCTATGTACAAGCTTCTCAACGACATATAAACATGCCCATTGATTTGCCATCTCTGCTATATCAATTAGTTAAACAGAATAGAAAGGGAATATGGTAATATCTCATCTTCTTATCACATAATTGGCCATTTTTTTAAACTTGTTTTGTCTGCAAAAAATCAGAAAATAATTAAAGATAAGTAGTTAAAGAGATATATTACCATACTGAGATTGCTCCATTCCTCCATAAATTGTTCTACAGAGTTCCAATACCATGGCAACATCCAGCTAATGGATTACGTAATAGGGCCTTTGAAGCTTAAACCACATTATCATCTGTAGTTCTAACAAATATCAGAATACAAAATAAGGATTAAAGATTAGAAGGTTTTGCTGAAATAATAGACATCTATTACAAATCTGTATGAAATTCCCTCTATAACCAAACAAAAATTGTAATTGTACTTTAATTGTACTTTTGGAAGGCTTACTTTTTAAAAAGGATAATGGAAGTAAAAAGGAAATTGCATGGTCTTTTGGGGTAAAGCCTCAGTGTGCCACCATGCAGTCAATGATTTATCACAGAGACGACACAGAAGCAACACACCAATCGCTGCACTCTCTCCTTAAATTGAATCAATGCGTCTTACCTTATAGCCCCACTGGTAGCACACAAACCGCAATGTCTCAGTAAATCTGTGTTATCCCCCCTCATTTCACGTTGAATTGTTTGTTTGCCCCCCCCCCTCCCATCCCCACTTTAGTGCTAAAGGTCAGAGGAGGAGGAGGAGAGAAGATTGGATGTGTGGTCACACAAGTTAAATACAGTGCAATATTGATCGCTATGTGCAGCAGCGTGTTACCCGAGTAGATAACGCCATGCCTCTTCAGAAGCTCATACATCACTTTAGCCAAGCGCGACACCAATGGAAGCGATCCATGAACTACCTCAAACAGTAGTTAGGACTTCACTAATCTATTTGTAGTTCAGTTCTGAAACATCTTAAAATCAATAGCCTTGTGTGTCCTACTGTTAGCAGTATAGACATGTACACCCATGGGACTCTTCTGTCTTTGTGTGCGCCTTTCTTTTGATTAAAGAGTGGAATCCAAGTAAATAACCATTCTAAATGTGGATAAATAAAACCCCACAACTACTTTTTCTATGGGTGATGCAGCAAATGCTGTTCTTTTTGTGCAGGTTTTTAATCGATGGACATGTGGAGCACCTCAGACTGTATTACAAATCCGGTGAAGGGCAGATGATATTTGCCGCCTCAGCATTTTGAGAACACAGAAAGAACACAAAGATGATGCCATAAGTGTCCTTCCATTGACTTATTTGGGACATTTCAGTTCTCCCTGCACTGTCCTAGTATCATTCGTCAATGGTTTTAAACGTTTCTTAATCTAATGGCAGTAAATTGCTCTGCACAGTCAATTTAGATCCTGGGACACAACTCACAGGTTTGATAATGGCTACTGTGTAACACTCAAAAATGTCTTTACAGCTGATTGCTGTATTTATCCACACATTTAGTAGCTGTACCATCCTTCTAATTCATTATCTTTTTTGGACGCATTAGAGTTACTTTGGTTAATCATGCTGTCAAAATGATGAATTACTCTTACCACCTGACATTTTCTGAGAAGGAATTTAGGATTCCACTCATGGAGAAAATGTGGTGAAGTGATGAAGCAGTTGTTTTAATATTTGAATTTCACTGCCCCTCCACATGCCACTGCATTGTTGTGGGCTAATAAAAAACCCCCAAAACAAATGACCAGTTATGCCATCCATTTTCTCTTTTGTAAATGTGTATCATGGGTCGGTTCAATTTTTCACACATACACTGACGAACCCTATTTATAATCAAATCCAGTCAAATATATTCAGACGGACTGACGAATGATTGAACGGAAAGGGTGAAGGTTGAATTAGCTATGTGGACATTCGCCCATTGCATTTTCAAAATATATAATTTCCAAATACAATTTCCTCTAGAAATGTAACCAGAATGGATTTATTTTAATTGCAATGATGAGATTGGAGGATAAGAGGGGGAGGTGGGCTATTAAAGGACAGAGTACAAGTAGTCTGCAGTGTTTCATAAGGCCGGGCTGTGTTTAAGCAGCCATCTTTAGAAACATTCATGTGTAGTATTAGTCAGCTGACAATCTGAAGTGCTTCAAGTGAGCTTACAACGTGCACGCAACACTCTGAGACCTGAAACTAATAACGTGCCGTACAGCCTACTTAAAGCCAACCAGTCTCCAGCACTAATCCCTTTAAGATTCGCCTGCCCTCAAAGTAAAACCAAACCGCTCCGCATGTCACTCACTTCCCCCCCAGCGACCGCGCACACGTGTGTGTGTTTGCAGCTTGAACTTATGAAAAAAAAAGGGCAACAGTCAAAGTCTCAGGGCGGAGGTGACAACTTCATAAGCGACGATCAGGTTCTGCACACATGCAGTCAAAGTCCAAAGCGCTGCTGGGTGTCGGGATCACCTTTCATAGAGAGGCTGGGTGTGGACCGGCCTGAGAGGCTGAATGCAGAGTTCAATATCACACAGAAAATGTGGAAAAACCGCAGCGTTTATGGGCGCTTTCTTTTTTTACATCATAATTTCAGACCACCGCTTGAACCCCTCAGCTTTCAACACCTAATTGTTACACTTCCCCTTCACTTCTTCTTTATAACTGTCACTAATTCGCTCTGTCACTCATCGCCTCCCTCTCACATGCCCTGATTTCCTGCTCCATTTCCAGCGTGTCACCAGTGTAATACGAGAACGTCTCTGAGTTCCCTCTCTGCTCTCCCGCAACCTTGTTTTTCACCTTGTCCCCTCTGTTCCCCTCTCTCCCTTGTTCTCTTCTTTCTCGTTCTCTCCTCACCTGTCCTCTCCTCCTCCAGTCGAGATGGCAATGAGCAGCATCCTCAACGCTGACGACATCAAGAAGGCTCTGGACGCATTCGCAGGTAAAGATGGATGCTGATTCCACTCAGGTCTCCCAGCTTTGACGAAGTCGAATGTGTAAAAAGTCAAAGAAATGCTTTAAAGCACCTGGTCATAGTATTTGGCTCCATAACACTGATGAACCAGGAACAAGAAAATGTCTTCAATGTTTAAGCTACCTGGCAATGTTTCAACACATATGGTAATTTAATGTCACCCTGTGAACGTGCAGAGTCACAAATGTTCACGGTGTCGCGTGTCAGGATTGAATCTCATATTTTAAGGGGTCTAATTTCATCAGGTAGAAGCAGACATTAGAGGAGTGTCCGGAGTGAAAGTTTACGACCAAAGTGCTGATACTGTGGCTCTTTGTGTCCGTGTGTGTGTGTGTGTGTGTGTTCAGCGGCCGACTCGTTTGACTATAAGAAATTCTTCGAGATGGTGGGTCTGAAGTCCAAGTCCTGCGATGAGGTGAAGAAGGTCTTCACGGTGCTGGACGCTGACAACAGCGGCTTCATAGAGGAGGAAGAGCTCAAGTGAGACACACGCCTGGACACAGATCAAACACACACAACTGCCCTGTTCACGTTTCCAATCAGGATGTGACATTGTAGACTTTGATTTGCAATAAAGATGGAAAGAAGAAATTTTAGAGGAGGAAAGATTTAAAAAGTGGTATCTTCCCAGATTCAATCTGTTATTTCCTTAGATTAAATGAATAACTGGGGAAACTATTTTTTGTTCTTATCTTGTGGATGCCACAGTTGTATTTTGTGTTGTTGTTTGTTGGCTTATCCTACAGCCCTTTGGCAACAGAGTGCAGGCTGGTTAATTTGCTTGAAACCTGGTCATCAAACAACAACGGCACACACCAAGCCAAATCCTCTGTCTTCGTGAAGTAATCTCCTTCTTTATTCATCCATCCATCCAGGTTCGTCTTGAAGGGTTTCGCCAAGGATGGACGAGACCTGTCGGACAAAGAAACCAAAGAATTTTTAAGAGCAGCCGATAAGGACGGAGACGGCAAAATCGGAGTGGATGGTAAACGCCAAATGTCTAATTCTACTGCTGGGAATGTCTGCGGGCGACTCGGGAGAGGCACTGAGCACCACAAACACAGAACAGAAAAGAGACAGAGTGCTCTCATTAGCTGCTATTGTCAGAAAAACTAAAGCGTATTCAACAGCCTCGTGGCCAGTCTTATCGAAAACGCGGGGAGGAGATATCTCCATGATCCTGACGCCTTTTGTTTTTTTTTTCCCCCTTCTTCTCTTTCAGAATTTGCTGCTCTTGTGAAAGAATAAAGGCGGACCCGTCACGCTGAAAGATCACCCTCTACCCATGGGCTCATTCTCCCCCCCCCCCCCCCCCCATGCGAACGCCTATGACTCCCCTCTCACTAGATGAAAGCCAACCCCTCCTGCTATGTTCACTCCTGCCCTCCACTTTCTCCCTCACTGCTGCCTTCACCACGTACGATGCTGCAGTGAAGCAGGCTGTTACGCAGCCCCCTCATGCCCCCTAAATACCCCCCATAACTGTATTCACTCTTTTACTTTTGCCCTTTTTATACAAACTGTCCTTTTTTGTGTTCCTGTATAGATCTTGGATATGTTTCCAACAATACAGCTCACGTTTTAAAGCATAAGGTATATATAACAAGAATCAATGTTCCTCTGTTGTTGTTTTTTTTTTTAGAATTACAGTCCTGGTGTTTTTTTTTTCTTCTCTCTTAGCCAGTTTTTTCTTTCACTTTGTCATTTCTCCCTCTTTTTCTGTTCTCTCTACACCCCCCCTTCCTATTTGCACCTGCTCCCCTTTATCCTCTTTTTCACCGTCATCCCATAACTCCAACCATCTCTTCTCTATTATCACTTTACCTCTGGTAACAAGCTGTTATAAAAAAAAAGAATACCAAAAGAAGAAAGAAGTAAGCTGTGAATGAATAAAATAAAAAATAAAATGGGAAAACTAAAACAAATGTGTTTATTCCTTTGTGTGTGTGTGTGTGTGTTCTCTTATCTGATGGAGCTTGTTTGCTTGTTCCTTCTTTTTATTTGGTTGCCCTTTATCTTATCCAGCACATCGGCTGAAATTCCTATCAAGAAGTGTACTTTTAAAAGCTTTTGTCTAGAAAGGGGTGGGGGTGGGGGGGGCAGTGTTAGTCCTCAGTGCCATTTGTTAGTTTTCATCAATGCTAACTGTGTCATCCGGGCTGCCACGGTTAGAAGAGAAGTTGCCTGAAAGCAAACTCTTTCGTTACACATAACAGTGGAACCTCTTCCTGCTTGAATTTGTATAACAGGCCAGGTTATGAAAAGGGGAAAAAGGAAAACAAAAAAACAGGCCACATCATCCCAGCTTCTAAAGACTTCTTACTCAGAAGTACTGTGCTGCTGTCAAGCCATTAGCAGAAATAGATTCACGCCAAGGTTCAATTTAGGATAAGTATCCCCAGGGGAGGACCCCAAGAGGCAATGGAGGAATCTTGATCTTTCTTAGTGGGACATTTAACTGTCTGTGCAAATAAATACAGATCTGAGGTGTACAGGTTACCATTTAATTTGGCAACAGGAAGAGGAACTCTGTCATTGTGAGGACAAAGGCAGAAAAAAGAACAGAGGGTTTGTGCACATGGCTTACAGTAAGAAAAAGATCTGACTTTATTCACGCGCAGAGGCAAACTGTGATCTGCAGAACCACAGAGCATTTTAAAGTACGATGCTATAAAGGTGGTGGGACATAATCCCTCAGTACATTTCAGAATCCATTACACTCCCACCTGCAAAAATAATATCCTTGTCTGAAAAGGTATTAACTGCCTCCAGTCACATTAACATTTACTACATTGAGATGCAATTAATATTTAGCAATGATCGTACCGCACGCGGCGTGTGAATGAAAAGGGTACAGGCGAAATCTAAAAACATAGAGATCATTTCGTGGGTACATTACACTGAGCATTAATCCCTGAGCTATGCATGACGCAACTGGCTTTCAGCAAAATACATTTTAGTGCATATCAGCCCATTCTGAGCACCAATTACCAACAAAAAAAGATTTATTGCATACCCAAAGGCATAAAAAAAAATCTAAAGTCAAAGAAAAACCACGAAAATGAAAAACAATGACTTAAAACTTCACATGATAAAGCTCCATATCCCTTTATGTCATACAAACATGTTTTTGATGATTTCTATTATTGTGCTGTTCCTGAGAGAAAACAGCATGGTTAAAGGTGTTTATTGTGTTTGGATTCCGAAGTGATTTGTTTTTTTATTTCATTTCTCCCTTCCCTGCAGATGGACGCTACATCAAATAAGATCCACAATGACCTCGGCCTAAGGTCAGCTTTCTCACACTCCCGCATGAAAACGTGGCCAAGGTCAAGAAACGCCACGCTAAATGGCCGCATTTGTTTCAGTGTCAACATGTCATCGCCGCTGGAGGTGCGGCGCCGATCTGTCATTGGTGGTGGTGGGCTTCAGCTTAACTGTAGCAAATGGATTGGTGCCCCTGCGGAAAGAAGAGGGGGGAGGGCAGAGGGGAAGAAGTCACAGCTAAACGAATGCGGGGGAGAAAAGAAAACGATGTTGGACAATGCCTATAGTTAAACGACGTGTTTTAAAACAACTGTACAGACACAAGGACTCTAGTCCAGTCCACCTGAAGAGAGGGTGATGCTTCACAGACGGCCATTACTGAAATGGCTTCAGAATGCACCTCAGACTCCAGTAGAAGAGCAGCGTTTTCGTTCCATTTTGATTGCTGCCCCTTAAGATAGTACGGGGTCCTGATATACTTCTAAGTAAATACCTTTAACTTCTCTGAAATGGAGCAATTGTGACCTCCATTTTAAAAGCGATTCTCCACGGTCTGAGCAAATCTGCAGATAGCTGCTCTTACCTCGGGAAAAGTTCTGGTTGCGATCCGTGGGCTTGAGAATTCTGGTGAAAGAACATGAAGAGGGAAGATGAACTATTGGTTAGTGATGGGCCGTATGAAAGACAAAATGTAGACACACGCAGTAATGGCTGCTCGGCAGGGATCAAACTCTCCAGTCAGACCTCCCCTTTGTTCCTCACTAACGTGTGGAGTCAGGGTGATGAAACATTCTTCACGTTATAACAACAGCTTAGACCATGCAGATGCATCTTGGATATTACAAGTGAAAAACTAATAGTTGCTGAAAGATATTGGATTGTTTTAAATAAGGACAGTCAAGACTCATAGAAAGTGCTGTGCAAACGTCCTGATCCATCCCTCATTTAAAGAAAGCTCTGCTTCCAAGGAGGCAGACTTCCTTTTTAACGTGGGCTTGAGTAAGAGTTCTGAAGGCTTTTGAAGGTATTTCAAGGTTTTTCTTTGGATGTTAGTTGCTTTTTTTCACTCGTATTCAGTCCAGTCCTTACAACTGACCATTTTCAGAGGATTATGCCCTTATGGTTTTTAGGTAACTGAACACTGACTTAGTGACTAATTCAAACTAAAAAAGGTACATAACTCAAGCATTGAACTCCTGCTGTGTTCACACATAACTGACTAAATCAGCAAAATTATATTTGGACTTCACAAATAGCAGTTAAGGACACAAAATGTGCAAATATGTCTACATTCATTTAGTTAAATATTCTAAAAAAAGTAAAAGACAACACAGACATTATTTGGGGCAGAGATATGACAAGAACTGGACTGAAAACCGATGGTCACAGGTCTCATGAGAGGGATAAATCCCAAACCTCCACATTATTGAAAAGACAGCCGACACCCAGAGAACTTTTCAAGAACCCAGGAAAGGTATTTGAGTGGACCACTTGAAGAAATGACACAAGGTGCTCATGAGAATACTGACATTAAACCTCAATATTCCCTTAAATAATATATACCAGAGTACATATGTGCGCGTCCGAATAAATTGCTACTCTTTTCTGAAGACTTGAATACAATATCTAAAAGAAATGAGTGGTGGATGGTGGCTCTTTTGCACAGCAGTATATATTCTACACAGTTCAGAGAAGCTGGTGCCAGCTTGTCCTCTGCATGTCCAGACACAAAGCAAACATGCTATTCAAACCGATAGCACCAGAACAACAAAGAGTACTACAGCTACAGAACTACAAGAGATGTGTTGAATTAATGTCCAGCACACACACACACACAGTCTCACACCCACACACATGCGCTCCACCTCCTGGCTCCGGTCAGCAGCTGGAGCTCCCCCCCCTCATCCACCAGAAGGAGGGCTGTGGCGCCATTGAGAACAGCACCTCGCCACAGTGCCCCTGCCGGACAGATGGGGCAAACATCTGCATGGAATGCACCTGCTTGGTAATCTTTCGCCATCTTTGTTTTCACAAACATTACCGTTGCCGCTTTGGCTGTAAATCCAGGCTGCCTGCTTCTGCCTGTGAATGCATGTTCTAGATCCAAATAAGTTCATGTAACTGATGTTCCTACAGTTTATTCACAGGGGTCATTACCACGGCTTTTCCTGGACGTTTCGGCAGAACTTTCAGCGTTCAGGCTCATCTTGTCTGGAACCAGCCGCAAGTTTAAAGCCAACATGGGAGTATGTATAAATAGCTTCTAAATAAGCCAAAACAAACCACTAACCAGTTTTGAAAAGTGTCTAATTATTCATGGATTTATTCATGGCTGACTTATTCTGTGGGGGGTGTAGATAAGTAAAAAAGTAACATCCACAACACTTGTGGGCCAGAAGGTTTAAAGAACTTCCTGGTTGTCGACAGAATGAAACATATTTAATAAAAAAAGCTGGAAGGCAGTTGTGACACAATAGTTTTATGCAGATGAAGCATAATTAGATTGTATCGGTTGCATGAAAATGCATAACTGAGGAAGTGTAAATGAGTTGTTTCTTTGTTTCTTTATTGAGCCCTACAGATCTGTGTTGGAACTGGTGGAAGGTCAGGACTGGGAGAAAAAGACACAATTATAAATTGTGTTTTTCTTCAGGAACACAGACTTAAAGCACCAATTCTCATGTGATTTCAGAACTTTATTCAGTCATATACCAAGTCACTGGGAGTCTAACCTGCATGTGGGAGGTCTGTGTGAGTCGCTGGGTGCCCTACCTTGCTCTGTGAGAGAGACTTGGTCCTCTTGTCGGCAGCCTGCGCAGCTGGACGGTTCTCCGACTGTTTACTCGATGATGACGGCGGTGGTGGGGGGGGCGGAGGCTGGTTGTTCATGTTGCTGCTGCTTCGTAGAGTGGAGGTGCTAAAAAATTCAGAACAGAGATCAGATTACTTAAAACTTACAAACCCTTTAGGCTGAAACTACTGAATATTGAATTGTATCTAGTTTAATAACAAAAATCAAACACATTACAATTCAGAATGAGCTAGTTTTACTTGTGAAATTGGTATATTTCATATGCAGTTCACGCAAGTACATAATAAAGAGAAGGAAACTAATTCCTCTAGATCAAAAGGTACTCCCTAACTGTGTATTTATTACTTTGAGCAGCTTTTCACCAACTCAGTCACCACAAACATAGTGCCTCCCACAGCTTAACAGTGGGGCTCAGGGGTTCCAGTTATGTCCTTTATTTTCTCACCACTATGTCCATGTACACACTGCATGTAAATACTTTCACAATTTTTCTTTGCAGTGCTCCTGTGCACAGTGAGAAAGTAAAAGTTTAACAGCCCTCTCCCTCAGAGCTATGGGTCACCCAAATACCTTAAGTAGTTCATTTTAACATTAATGCCGACCCCCTTTTGAAACTATTAGCCCCAAAAACAACCGGGACAGCCCTTTGGGAAAATGCACAACACGTTCTGTATCATTCACAGACACTGTTCCGCATTGTTAGCCCTTTGATTCTTCTCTTCACCCACTCTTTGTGGCTAAAACTATGGCAGGAATGGCCTTTTCACATGTTTACCGGGAGCTTGGTGAGCTTGGAGGGTCATCTGCTGGTTCCACAAAGGAGGCTGGAAACCATCCCTTACTGAAAGCAGAGGAGACGAAAAGTAAAGGTGAAGGCAGCAGTTTGAAGTTCGTGTTCATTTTAAAAGACAGGCTCAGCTAGATTTCTCACACAAGGTCACATATGGGGAAAAATGTAGAGAAAACGGAATTTCTTAACAATGCTGTGGTTTTTATCTATCAGTATTTTCAGACCTGCTCCAACAGATCAAAATGTGTCTCCTGATTTTCAAACCTTTACCATATTCATTGGAAACTAAAATGGTAATCATCAGCGATCATCTTATAGACGACAAAGGTTGTGGGGTCATTACAAATTAAATGGATTCAACACCCCAAACTGTGAGAGATTATTCGCAAACAGAAATTCTCGCACATCAAAAACAGTTCACGCAAAGGCCGGATGCAAGTCAACCAGGACGCTTTAAGGAGGCGCAAATGTGGAGCTGTTTGTGCATAATGATGCTGATTTGCCCTATGAGAAAATCAGTACAGTGGTAGAGAGATGTGCTGCAGTCACGGGACTTGAACACACCACAGCGACATGTTCAGGTCCTTCAAACGTGACGTCAGAGTGTGAGGCCCGGGGCTTGGCTGAAACTGGGTTATAGTAGGAAAACGATCTAAAAAAAACGACAGAACATCTGAAAAAGTAAAGAGTGAAGACACCACACCGTCCCAGTCCAGAGCTCATTATGATCTCACGAAATAATGACTCAGAATTCTGTTTAGATAATAATGAGATGCCGTAATAAGTCATCTATAGTAGTCTGCTGACTACTAACCTGATTTTGATACAGTAAGGACCAGAGGATTTCCCTTTATGTCTTTAAATATAATTGTAGGAAGGTGCATTTTATCATGACTAAATCAGAAATCTGAGTAAACGGTGGAAGGAAAGATGTACATGTAGCCCGGTGTAAAAGTACAGGGGCTAAAGTTCATTTGCAAAATAAATAATTATTTCAATTAGTTAATTAAATAATTTAGTAATGGAAATAACCTAAAAGTAATTTAGGGGTAAAAACAGATAAGAAGGTGAAATGTTAGGATTAACATAAATTATTGATAAATATAGTGTAAAATGTGTGTAGTAAACCAAACCTGTATATTTGGATTTGTGTTATTGGTTCGTGTTGTTTCGTTTAATTGGTTGCTGTGTATGTCAATCAGTGTCACCTGTTGGTTATTGAGCATAGGTAAGAGAGTGAGTGAAAAAGGGGCGGAGAGAGAGGAGAGAAGGAGAAGAGACGAGAGATTCACGAGACGCGGAGCAAAAGAAAAGTTAAGAAAAATTACGTTTTGGTAGCTAACTTGTTTAATGTTTAAGGATAGTAAAAAGCTGTAGTTAAGGACAGTAAAGTGCATTTCCTGCCTAATCAAAGTGGATTAGAACGTTGGGGTATTGCAAAAGTGACTGTGCTAACTAAGCTAACACGAGCGAGCCGCCATTGACGAGGACGCCATTGCGGAACGGGAAGGACTGTTTCGCGCTTCCTGAGGAGGACTTTGCTAGTGCTGCCGGTCACGACAATCTTCTCTTCATGAGCCGTTTCCCCAGGATTTTTCCAAAGCGTGAGTTGGATTATCTGTGTGACTGTTAATTGCCATTGAAGGCAACGCTTTGCCTGCCGCACCGCACCTGGAGCACACAGGCCTGCAACGTTTATTGTTTTTGGATGCGTGTGTGCGAGAGTGTGTGTGGGCCCACTGTTTGTTAAAGTTCAGTCAAATAGAGTATTTGATAGGATTTTGATAAGTACAGAGAACTGAGATAAGTTATGTTTTGAAACTATTTTGATATGGTCAATTCTGATTTTCTTATTACAATTCTGCTTTCTACAGTGTTTTGCCTAATTTGGTAATTGTTGTTGTTGTGCGTTAACAAAAAATATAAAACCTTATTTCATTTATTTTGAAGAAATGTCTGGGGTCAGTCATTTAACATAGGGTAGTGAATATAGTCCACTAACAGTGCTGTGTTTACCCAAACACCCGAACCCAAACACCCCATCATTCAAGTCCAAGGTGAGTTCCTTTTACTTAGGCATTTACTGAGTGTTGGGATGCTACATACACACACACACACACACACACACACAGTCACAGCTCAGCGTATCTAACCGTGAACCGTTGTCAGTCTGTCCGTACAGCCAGCCGTTCCGGGGCTGTTGGACCAGAGCGGTGATCAACTGGCCCTTGGAGAAGGGCAGCAAAGTGGGGTTGGACCCAGGGGGCTCATGAGCCACCCTGGCCCTCAAGGCTCTCTGTCCTCCCCCACCTCCTCCTCCTCCCCCTCCTCTCCTTCCTCCTCCTCCCGCAGAGTCTGCTGAGAAGCGGGAAATGCTGCCTTGTGGAGACGGAGCTGAAAGCCGAATGAATGAAACACACAGTCAGACAAAGAGTGAGAGAGAGAGAGACGGTGCTGGCTTGCTGATAGAATTGTTCATTAAAATATATTAGACGCTAGAATTAATATTCAGTTGTTTTTCTTAATAATTAGCTTGATTAAATTAGAATTTGTTTTTCGTCATTATAAAAATCAGACTTGGCTTCTCCCTTTCGGCAGCAGGGGGTGTGGTTATTTTGATTGTCCTCAATAAGGTGCTTCTGTTTGCTCTGCGGTCGACGACGGCTTGGTCTCTGCAGACAACAATCAGCAGTTTGCCATGTTTCGAGTCTAACATAATGAGGTGGGCCTTTTAATGCTGTCCCGTTGTCATTCTGTTATTACGCCGTCTATTTTTCACTGCAGATAAGCAGGCCAAATGATTAGAGTGGCTGTCGGCGGAGCCGGTACAATTGGGGATGTATTAAAGGGAATGATTTGCAAAATGATCAAGATGGAGGGGAAACAGAAACAAAAAGCGGAAAGAATTAAAAAAAAAATTCTGATCTTGTGGCAGGAAAATGAACTTGGATGGGGCCGTAATGGGCTGTAAATGATTAACAGGCAGAAATGAATGTGACTGAATCACATTGTTCCTTTTTAATTAGAACAAAACTAATGGAGATAACCAAACACCTGCTGCTTTAAAATTTGTTCCAGTGTGTGCTGGCAGAGAAGGGATGTTAGCATCAACCACTCACCCCTGGATGGGATGTTGCCAAGGGGCTGCTCCTCCAGGCTCCTTCTGAGCTCGTCCTCCCTCATCCCCATCTACAAACGCACAGGGCCAGTAAGATTTCAACTGAATAATAACAAGTAAACACCAGCAAACACTACGGCGTTCATCTAAAATGAAAAAAGGGTACGATTTGATTAGTCATCGATAATGTCAAAGCTGAACATATTTCCATCCTCAAACAGCATTTAAAATGGTTAAAACTACAGTTTGCAAAGCCCGATATTTCACTGGTTTACAGAGCATCACAGCCAATTAAGAATTAGCTGCTTAAAATGTGTTTCTGCATTTTTTTTTTTCCCATTTTCATCTCTATCTAGTTGCAAGTTAGCTGAGCGTGGGACGAATGCAGCAAATAACAGAAAAATAGCATCCATAATTAAACTGAGAGGTGGAAAACCCTGAAACTGGGTGGGCATCCCAGCAAGTTCACACCAAGGTTCAGAAGTCCCAGCGCTCAGAACAGAAAAGGACTGCAAAAACCCAAGAGGTTTCAACTACAATCTAAGCTCTGGGCAGCACAATTGGAGAAAGGCCGGGCGAGTCACGCTTGTTTGGAAAGCTTGCAAAGAGGAAGCCCAACAGAAAGCTGCAGCCTGGTCTGGGTTGGTAAAGTCACATTTAAAGAAACAGTGGGACCCCTGGAACAGGCGAGAGCAAAGTGGTGAGGCATGGTCATACTGCACAGAAGCTTGTTTTCGGTGAGGACCAATCACAGCCTTACAGCCGCTGACTCACAACCGCTGTACAACCATCACACAATAGTTCTGCACTGTGGCTCAATTTTAGTTAAATCATCGATAACAGGCTGTATTCGCTTACAAACTTTCCCATGTCTGAGGTTATATAAACCTCATTTCAAAAGCTGGAAAGGACCACATAATTCATTTTTATTACCGTTTATCATAAACCTCAGTCTCAGTGAGAGCAGGTTTTCTTTTTCACACAACTGTAAGCGCCTCATGAGTGACTACGCCTCACGTGCCCGCGTAAAGTGGCTCATGGCTTTCGCTCAATCATATGCGGGGATGAATAATCCCGTGTCAGAACAAAACAAACACTGAATCCGTGCTAATCCTCTGGCTGTTATTAGAAAGAGATGTGGGATTGGTGGAGTTCACCGGCGTGTCACCTCCCAGAACAAGAAAAAACGCTGCGATGGATCTCAGGCCTGCCTCTTGCTGATTATGTACTCAGTCCTGTTACCCATTAAAGGTAAAAATGGTTTTAGATTGTTTTGATTGCTGTTTGTTCTCCCTACAGCTCAGCTCTCTCGCCTCATTGCTGACACCATCCATTAGAGGGCACTCTTGCGAGCACATCATTTGATTAATTAACTGGATCCCATATTATCTTATCCCAGTTACAAACCCAGTTAGGTTATATCACAATGGGTCTCCTTATCAGGTTTACCAGGTTTCACCAGAATTCAGCTTCACTGAGCAGCTTTAAAACTCAGTTTTCACTTCGGATTCAATCTGTTCACTCCCCCAAAGACAGGATTTTATAAACACCAGCACAAAAGCTGTGATGCTTTGGGAGATTTATATGTGGGTTGGCTCCTGCCACGCATGAAAAATGTATCTTTTTTTTTTTGGACTTATTGCAGTGTGAGACGCTGACACTTGTCTGAACTCACAGTGTTACCCAGCGAAGCCGCATCTCTCGTGTCAGATTGTCGGGTTGCATTGATCTCCTTTGTCCAGGCATCAACCCTCTGCTGGAGGCTTCTGCCTGTCTGCAACACACAGTACACAGCGCCACATTAAAAACCGTACTTCCCAGCCTCCTCTCCGAAAGCAAACACCCATCCCTTTATTTCTGATCAAATGGAAGACCCTTAGTTTATGGTAAAAAGATAGGTTTGAATCAGAATCAATTTAACCCTGTAATGCCAAATGTATCATATTTGATACATATGGTTTCTGATATGCTTTGCGTCTGACACCTTTTGCATAATTTAATGGTAAAAACTTTGTTCAAAATCCTATTGTACACAATCAAATACCCCTGATAACAGGGGGCAGAAGACTACACAAAAAATAATCTTGATTATTGCATAGTAATAAATTATTAATATAGAATTTTTATTTTATTTTTTATTTTTACATATTTTGTTAAAAAGCCAAATAAGGAATTCAAACAAATAAAAAGGAATTTTTCCTGTTTAGTTTCATTCTTGGATCGGGCTTTAAAATGTTAATATTAATGGCCTTTCCTTTAAAATGTCTTTCATTTTTCAGAAACGGACTACTGGTTTGGGAGGCACTTCTGCTGTTCCGTGCGCTGTGGCCCCGTCGACACATGAGGGCAGCATCACACGGGAAGAGGTCGTATGACTCCAGAGACTCTATTCAGAAAAACAGGGACCAAAGGCCATCTTGGGCCTTCTGTCTATCTCCAGCCTGAACTCTGTGTGCAGGAGGTTGAACAAACAAGACTCGCTTGCATTATCAGTCTCTGTGGACCTAAAATGCTGGCTGAGTTTCAAAGGTCTTTTTGACCGCCTAATTTGAGAATGACAAGCAACATTGAACAGTTTGATTTTCAGTCCAAGTGTGGTGGTTTGTTTAGATTTCCGACACACAATAACTTTGTCACTGTAATTCCATGGAAAAAAAAAAAGGAAAAAGAAGAAGCTTGGACTTTGACCTGTAATAAAATGCATTGATTACAAATCCTTCAAACCAGAGATGGGCAACTCCGGGCCTGGAGGGCAGGTTTTAGGGGTTTCCCTGCTTCGACACACCTAATTCACATCAGCAGTCCTCTCCAGAGCTTAACAATCTTTAGAAAAGATCCATTTTTATCTGAAGCCCGGAGCTGCCCGCCCCTGCTTTTAACCACTTTTTACTCAAATACAAACAGGGTAAAGATTGAGAATCTAAATGAGTTAGATGTTTGAATTTAATAGCAGCGGCACGCTTCAAAATGTACGCGGGGACAACAAATCTGGCACAGCTGGGGGAACGTGTTCTGACTAATTATGTTAATTGGCAACAGGTCCGTGAGCCCACTGGGTGAAAAAAGTATTTCAGAGGGAATGCATCCTCAATTAGTAGACACAATGTTTCTAAAATTGAAATGACAGCAACTACACAACTGCATTAAAACAAAAAGGCTGAGAAGCTCCAGGCATCTCAGTCTCTGGTCCAGAAAAGAAGACATATGTGAACAGGATCCAGAAACACCCCAGTGTTCTCTCGGCCAAAGCTAATTTAAAATAGATTGAGACAAAGAGGGTAATTGTTCAGTGGTCTGACGATTTCATTTCGTAAATTTTATGTAACATCTTTTTAGAAATCAGGGAAGCTGCATCTAATGAGGAGAGGGACTGTTACAGGTTGTCACAGGTACTTTTTTCAAAAGCCTACATTTCTGATGGTGTGAAGGGGTATGATTAGAATCAATGGACATGGCAACTTGCACTACTCGAAAGGCACCATCACTTCTGAAAGTATAATGCTGAACCTGTATATTTCAGGGAACACTAAATGTTTCCCTTTCCACATTTGATTTGTTTTCTATGTTTTTTTTGCTCTATTGCACCTTGCTTGATCCTTTGCTCTAACAGGCAAAACATTCCTTTGTGTTTCATTGGTTGTGATGGCTCGTGATTCCTCACCAACGCAGCACTTGGAATATTACGTTTTCAAAAACTTTCTGTGGTAAGATGCTAACCTTATTCATGATCTGGGCGATGGACTGTATCAGGCCGCAGTGCCTCTCCGCCAGGAAGCGGTATCGTCTCTCCTCTTCGCCCAGAGCCTCACCGTGGCTCTCCCTCAGGAAGTGCATACACTCAGTGTAATCCTGAAGACACACAGGGACAGAGCGTGAGTAACATTCATGCTATGAGGACATACTGTACTCATTCAAATGATCTGATGAATCTAACTTCCGGTGTGCAGAGAAAACTTAACAGACCTGGTTGGTTCCTCTCCTCATCCGGTTGTGGACCTCCTTTTCGTATTGCACCCGACTGCCCTGAATGAGAGGTCATCATGCACATAAAAATCCAGCCCCAATCTATCTGATTGATCTGTATTTGATCAACTGGACAACTGGGCTGACAAGTTCCAGAACCATACCACCACTCACCAGTATGTAGTCTCTGTCCAGCTGAGCGTTGTTGTCCATCTGCTGTAAGACCTCCCGACTGAATTGTCGAAACTTGAACATACAACAAAAAATATGTATATTTACATTATGAAAACAAGAAAAATGTATGATTTGTGTTATTGCAGTGTCACTAACCAAGTCTTCCATCTCCAAGGTGAGTCTTTGCTGGCTCTCAGAAATCTGAATCAGGACATTTCCTGGAAGACCAATGCACAATTTTGACATGTTTAGTTTTCCATTGCATAATTCTGCTAACTTTCAGGTTCACGTGCAGTCACACTCACATGGAAAATTTCATTAGAAATTTTCTGTTACCAGCAGCTGATTCTCTACATAGGTAAGTGATCATTTTGCAAAGCCTAATTAGGTGATAAAATCTTCATTTTAAACTTGGAAATATAAATCTTGCAATTTTGAACCTAAAGTGCTTACTGTTTATGGTTTCTACCTTTAAATCTTTTCACACCCTGCGTGTTTACTAAAATAGCTCCAGTTTTTGGTCCAGTGAATATCATTGAATAACGATGCTTTTATTAGACAGTAAATGTATGCTTTTATGATTGCCTTAACACTGCACTGAACCATTTTACGACACCTTTGGTAAAACCTCACATAGTCATTTTCTAATTTGTAGACACCCTGTAGTGGTTGGGTGGTTTCACAATTGCTTAGAATGGAGCCCTAAAATATTCTGTCATCTGCTTTAACAAGAGTTTGACTCCAAGATGAGGAAAAAAAGAGGAACATGAGCATCTGTTAAGGGAAATGATTGCCACAATTACTTCCATATTGGAACACTTCAGACTTAACAGAAAATGTCCATCTTGTTTAGCTCGTCTTTTATAGTTCCTCATAAATGTTAGCTGGGATTAATGTCCTCAGTAGGAGGATAAGACGACTGTACATTTTTTCCAACGTCAGCTTTTTGACCGGGCAATCCCGTCCGTTAAGAAAGTTGGGTTAAGTGAGCAGAGGGTGGCCCACCACTTGTCAGCATCTATTATTCATGTCTACAGCTGACAGGAAGCCCTTCTGCCAACATCTTCTGTCACATAAAAGCTCAATCAAACAACCTCTGGATCTCAGCCTAGCTCGTAGCCATATTGTTGTCCCATGTAGGGGAGGGTTTGGCCCAATCAGATCGGCTTGAGCTGAGGTCACTGTTCACAATATCTATTTTTTTTAGGTGTCAACTGTTAGTCGTTATTGAATATATGTCTGAAACAGCTTTACACATTAACATCAAGGAGGATGCTAATCCCAAAGACAAACACACGCCCAATTCACACTGTAATAAAAGGGTCCCTGAGGGTACACTTTGATGTTACTCAGACCCAAGAGCGCTGTGTTTAATAAATGACCATAAAGACAAACGGCTTATTCGTTGGGCGTGGTGCAAAATGACGGTCTCTGTGTTTCCATTCGAGGATCATGAGCCAGCTTGCACAGGCCAGCTATGCACACATACCAAGGGAGTGTGAGGACATGGTGTAGAAAGCTTTCTCCCCAATCTTTGAGAGTGCATTGAAGTAATCCCCACTGGTGACAACAAGAGCTGAAACAGACAATGTGATCCTCATTTTAAAAGATTGTAACTTTCAGATCTTACAATTATGAACAGAGCACAATAGGCAGTGCAAAATATATATTTCCATGTCCATCGATACTTACAAAGTCCAGCTTTTTACCGTATCAGTACACACTTAGCCAGGTACTACTTCGGTTTCCTGACCATAGATTAGGTGTAGAAGTAGAGATGCTTTTATCTTTTTAATTAAACTGATCTTTAATCTTTGATCCTTGATTGGTACTGGTAATCGTGTAAAGAAAAAAGATCTGAAATGGTAACATATAAGCTACAACACTGAGCACTGTGTAGCTGTGCAGCAGTGACCTTGTTTAAGAACAGAAGATTCTGGGACCAAAGCAAAGCTAAAGAAATGATTCATTTGAATGACAAACACCAGTAATTTTGTTTTAGTAACTGCATCATTCGTATGTGTCTGTGTGAATTTAACTCCATCAGTAAAGAGGATCCAATTATATCACTTCTTTTGGGATGAGCTTGTCAAGATAAGGTTATGGCTCAACCTTGCACACACAATCGGAAATTTATTGCCCCTCTCCAGGTGGCAAGAAGACCATTGATGCCGCCGTTTACTGATCTGATGTCAGAGTATTAAATAAAAGAGACTCGCAATATAAATGGATTCTGCAGCCTTATTCAATTTACACTCTTTTCACATTCACACATTATAGAGGAATTGGGGGTGATTGTAAATTATTAAAACTGATCCTCACTCTAGATTCAGCACACAGGTTGTGGATAAAATCTCAAAACCCTGAAGATGAAAGTGCTCTGGTGGTTTGGAATCTTTGCTTTAGCATATGAATCGCAAACACAGGGTTATTGTGGGGCCTTGTTTGTCCAGTGACAGCGTAGTCATAACTACTTCTTGTTTACAACCCCATTACAAAGATTATTATGGCAGCAGTATATTCCCAAAGCATTTGAACTTTGGATTCAGCCTCATAGAAATAAGCCCGTGTTTGATCATGACTTACTTAAGATAAACTAATAACATGCACTAACTTCCCACCACTTATACAAGTTCTTTTTCTGTCTTTGGGTCTTTTTGATTCACACACTTACCCTTGAAAGCTTGGGCGTAGCTATTTCCAAGTAAAACCAGTTTCTGTAGATGTGGGTTGAACTCATCAGTCAAACTCTGTAGGGGGGAGAAAAAAAGCGCCCTCTCATTCTTCATTCTTCAAAGATTCTGTTAAACTTGGAAAAATAGCCAGGGTACAACTAAACAATAAGAAAAATTCTCTAACCCGACACAAGTCTTGGTTATTGTCCAGATAAGGAAACAAACAGAATTTCAAAACTACTTGAATTCCCTCTGTCTTTGCATGGCTGAAATTACACTCTAATTCTACTTGCTTTCTGTTCGACCAAGGAATCTCTCTAAAGTTTCTGAAGGTCCTCGTCAGAGGAAAATATGTTTCTTTGATTTGAATCCTAGACTCACACAAAAAGCCACTGACTCCATTTGTCACTTACCGAGTAAATCCCCAAGGTGGAGCGGTGCAGGTGATCACTGTCAGTTCTCGACATGTTTGCATTTAGAATACAGCAACAGCCAGTGAAAAACGTTGGGAATGTCCTCAGGCCTCAGACCGTCCAGAAAATGTAGCAAGCCCTCTGAAAGAAATGGGCGGGAACCGCAATAGACTGGATGTGGCGTTATGGAGAGGCGGCAGCCGAGTGTGGTCGTAATCGACACCACTATGGCCCGAGAAAGACAGGAGTAAATAATTAAACACGGTTCAACCATAAAACACACTGGCACATGTTGGGTGTATAATAGTGTGTACTAGAGAGTGTGCGCCATACTGTATGTTTTATTCATGACTATTACCAAGATCTGTTTTCATCAGACAGGGAAAAGAAATAAACAAACAATACACAAATGTGTAAACATACATACTTTCATACTTACCTACGTAGATAGATAGATAGATAGATAGATAGATAGATAGATAGATAGATAGATAGATAGACTCTAATAACCTCCTGGAATTTGTTGGTGGGAAAATATAGGTCAACTGAGTACCTGAACAGAGTAAATGATCCAGATCTTCTTGTAGGTTATTTTCACTGATAGCACGGTATATATCAGGATGAAATTGTCCGGACTGATTGGGCTGAAATAATCAAAGAGCGGATCAGATACTCTGCAATATAATTTTTACACATAGATGAAGTTCAGTGGGTTCCATGTTGACTTTTTTTCATCTTTTCAACAGGGAATGCAGTTTTTAATTTAAAACCTCCAGCCATAAAAAGAAATAAGCTGGACCCTCTCCTGGTTAACCAGTCGGTTCCTTTATTTCAAATCCAGGTCATGATAATTACATTCACACCATATATTAAACACTGAATCATCACTTTAATTCTGTCCCTTTTCCTAAAAGTAAATGGAAGCAGTGATGGTTCATGGAGATTAAAGAGCAGAGAGAGCATGGGGAGAAGAGTAGCTCAATACAACATTAGAGTTCTCCTGGTAAGCAGCACCATTAGAATCATGACAGGATGGATGATTCAGGGTAACTTTAACTAAAAGCTTAATCAAACAGGAAGGTTTTATGCCTGATCTAAAAGGCCTCTGCCTGTCGAACTGCCTCCATGCAAAAAGGCGCTGCTTTCTTCCATTTTTCATTTAGAGAGTCAAGGAACCACATATAAGTCACTATTCTGAGGGTGAAGTGTTTGTTTGGAGGATCTGCTTCTATGTGCAATGTGAAGGCCATTAAGAGCTCAATATATGAGGACAAAAGATGCTGTCTACTCTGAGAACCATTGATGTTGTAACTTGGACTAACTGGAGGCTTTAAAGGATTGATTTAGAGGAGCCTTGTCCAAAGCAATGAGCATTTTTTATTTTCCAATTCCTTGAGATGAGATTTTACAGAATTTGTCTAAAGAAACACACCCCTTATGGAAGTAACCATCATCAAAGATAATTTCATGGTTCCTGAGTACTTTGCACAAAAGGAGCAATCTGAGGGAGTAGTTTAGCCAAATACTGGTTACAAATCTAAAAATGGAGTGAGGTTGAGTGTCTTTGATCAGCAAACAGTCACTGAAGCGTGACATTTGTGAATTAAACATGCCCCGTTTCTAAAAATAATAACAGGGAAGGAAAGGCAAAAGGCAAATAAATGCATCTGTTTCACACAGAGGGGGTGAAAGCTGCTTGGCCCCTTTGAGAAAAACTTCAGAAAAGAGCACGAGGAGATATCGACTGTCTTTCTGTACTTCTTAGTCCAGCACAACTCCCAGTGCTCGGCTCTCCTGTTGCCAGGCGAAAAACAAACACGCACACTGCTGTGCACTGCTCTAATTCTATAGCTGTGACTGATGTGTAACTGCGAGATTAAGAACTGCTTGCAGAGTATTGGTGAGCATTAATTGTCTTCTATTTCAGTTCAGTTCAAGCAAGAAGCAGAGCAGTGCTCTGAGAAACCTTTGCTTCCCGGGTTAATTGTTTACAGATTATCAGGCTGTCTAGTTTGGAAAAGGAGACCTCTGCACAGGAGATGTCATCACAGTGTAATGGAGGGCATTACAAGCATGCAACAGTGTGAATCACGTTAATCTTATCTCTAATTTAGTTCCTCCTTGGGGTGAAGAATCAGAATTTGTCTAACAAAAAACAATCAATGCTATTGTGCAGAACTATTTTAAAAGTTTTGTTGCCATGTCCACTCCAAAGTAGATTTGCAACTATTTTGAAGGTTTTCTAACTGGAATTATAATTTCCCCCCGTGTCAAATAATGGGTTCCAGATGTTTTGTAAATGGCTTCATAACCCTCTACCAATATTATATACAGCAACAATATTTTCCCTGCAGAAATTATAGGTACCTGCTTGAGCAAACACCCAAACGCTCCAGATTGTCAAAAAGCTTCTGAATTATGGCTCAGATTTCTATGAATAAATAACGCTGTTGTGTCAGCAGCTGTTATTCATCATAGGTGGTAGATTTCTGTTCAAAAACTTGGAAAGACCACATTTTTCCATGTGAGCCGGACGTTTTTATGCCCATTTTTTTCAGTTCTTTATTATATTTAATCCACTTTGAACCTGTGGGACCTTTTTTAACCTGCAAGGCCGATCAAAACCCAGACACTTTCAGGGATTCACTGTGAGCGGATTTCAAAACAGCGAATGATGAAATGATGACACTGAAAAGCTTCGCAGCAAGAATGAACAGCATCATTTCACCGAAAAATGATTTCAACCTCCGCAGGCCTGTCAGTGCAACTCAGTCCACCCAAGAAAAAACATTGCATGTTGCTTTTATTGAAGCTGACTTCATTAAATACAAATGAGTGGATGCCATCTGTCTAACCTATGGATGTTATTTTTATCTGCCATCCTCTTGCTCCCTTTAAGGCAGTGAAGCCTGAGCTTTTTCCTGCAGCACACATGTTGGATGACCAATCAAATCTCAGGCATCCATCTGAAACGTGAGCTTTGAGAGGTCTTTGTTTAAATCTTACTTGTTACACGGACCATAGGAATTATGGTCTGCTCGGTCTAGTAGGTGTTTATTGTGCTCTAACACACGCACAGACACACACATTGGGCAACACATCTGAGAGTTATGGTTCTCATCTCCTGTGCTGTAGAGCTGTTGGGGAGCCTTGACTTATGGTTATCTACACATCGCATTACCCTGCCCAATAATGTGCAGCTCAGCTATAGAACATTAAATCAAGCGGAAGGGGAAAGAAAAAAAAACTAATTTCCGGATGCAACGTGGGTTTTTATGCATCCAAGACATGTCCGAGTCTGCTTTGCATTTTCTGAGAGCAGAAGTAACAGGAACAGTCTGAAAACAAGACCAACGTCCTCCTTTTTTTCCGCGCAAAGCGGCTGCTCTGTCACCAGGAATCACGTCACTGATCCATAATAACAAGTTATCTGGACTATAGAGCAGAAAGGGGGATGGAATGTGTTGGAAGGGGCGGTCCCGCCCAGTGTTTTTTTTTTTTCCCCTTTTTTTTTGCCCCCCCCCCCCCCCTCCCACCGCTCGTTCCGACTCAGTATTAATAAGATGGATTTGCCTGAATACGGGGACATGCGCGATATACAGTGGGGGGGGGGGGGGGGACGTGTTCTCTCTGCTTCTGGTGTTTGGTGGGTGTCTCAATGATCTTTCAATTATGTTGCGGAACTCTCATTTCTCCATCCATCGCGCTCGGAGGGAAGACGAAAATCTAGATGGTGTTCACTATCTTTTACTCAATACTTTGGTGTTTTGAGAGCTTTTTTGGTTCCTTTGCAGAATAACAGTTCCGGTTATTAGATTTTTTTTCTAATCATCGACCAACCCCCCCCCCCCCCGTCGCCACCCTGAAGTTCATCGTGGTCATCCTGGCCGCCGGGATGGTGGCCTTCATCGGAGCGGTCATCTGCATCATCGCGGCTGTCCACACCGGCTCCTCCGGGGCCGCCGCGGCGCAGCGACAGCCCGCGACCGACAACCAGTCGCTGTTCCCGGACACGGGAGCCCAGACCCCCGCGGTGGGGGGGGCGGGGGGCTCCGCGGCCCGGCCCGGGGCTCTGGGCGCTCTCCACGGTTCTGAAACGCCCGACTCCGAAGCGCCCACTTTCCGCGTCGGGCTGGACGGGGTCACCGGGCTCACCGGACACGACCCGGCGGTCAGTCGGCTCATCTGCACCCCGATCCCCGCCGGAGAGTGCGACCCCAGAAACTTTCAGCAGCAGCAGGCGGACGACCCGACGCTTTACGCCGGGGAGGACTGGGGCTACCTCCGCACCGCTGCGGAGGAGCTCCGGCAGACCGTCCTGCAGCAGAAGGACCAGATATCCACCGACCAGCGGACCATCAGGGAGCTGGCCGGGAAGCTGTCCGAGTGTGAGAAGGGGCTGGGCGGAGGGAGCACCAGCAGCAGCAGCGCGGAGAGACGGGGCCGAGGCGCGGAGGAGAAGGAGGAGGAGGGTGAGGAGGAGGAAGGCGCACACCTGAGGAGGGTCATGGTGCGGGACAGCCCCGCTTCTGCGTCCGACGGTGTCCACCTGCTGACCGTCAGAGCCGTGGACGAGCTGGAGCAGGCCATCACTCAGCTCAAAGACCGCATAGAGAGACTGGAGGTGAGTGGATATGAAAACCCCCCCAAAAATAAGGACAGCAAACCACACAATCCATCTTTATGAGACAGCTGAGTGACACTTAAAAGGTTTAATTAATCCCAAAGATCCTCATTAGCCCCAAAAAAGAGACGCTCAGAGGCCAAGATGAGGTAGAATTCAAGAGAAGTGGCCTTTCTTTCTTTCTTTCTTTCTTTCTTTCTTTCTTTCTTTCTTTCTTTCTTTCTTTCTTTCTTTCTTTCTTTCTT